CTTTCCCTTTCCTTTCACCTGTCTTTGTGAGATTATCATGCCCAGTTCGACTTCCTTCATCATACTCTTAGCCTTACAGGTTCTCCTATTCAATTTCCCTTCAGATGGCAACAATTCTGGGCAAGACGATGCCAAGTACATATGAACCCAAAGAGTCACCAGATCCAGGTCCCCGGAGGTGGATTCAGGAATCACTGTTTCCGAGAGAGCTCTCATAAAAAAGCAGTAATTTAGCAAGATGAACTTCAAGAAAAGTACCACTTAGAGATGGTTACCTTCATGGTGATGCCTCTTAGCATAAGACACAGACTCCCCTTCGTGCTGCGCGTGGAACTTCTGGATGCACCTCCTCACCAGGTCCTCCCAGCCTGGCTTCATGGCTGCCCGCATGGTGCTAGTGTCCAGGGACGTGATCTTGCCTAGTAAATAACAGCAAGCATTATACCTACGCACTGATCTATTCTTTATAGAAATAAGTACATCTTAAAAAGGTAAAAATGTGTTTATTTGGAATAGGTAGCACAAGTGCACGGACCGAAAGGGTAGACAGTGAAAAGAAGTGTCCCCCACCCCCCGCCCCCGTCTCCAGCTCCTCCACGCTTCTGCCCCAGCAGCAGCCACTACTACCAGCTTCTTCATAATTTTCTAGACCCGTTCCTTGCATTTACAAACATGTAGGTATTCTAGAAGGATTTCTTTGGCAAGAAAATTTACCTTGGAGATCCTGGCGAGTAGTGAAACTTTCTGATGAGGGAAGAACTGGTCTCTCCTTCATGGGGACTCTTCTAGCCACACAAATCAAGCAGGACTGCAAATCTTCAATCACATACATTGATGGTTATCGTATCAGGCTTTTTTAGTGTTTCAAACAAGATCAAATGCATTTCTGACAGCACAACCTTGTAGGTCAATAAGGGAGAGAGCGACGAAACACTATGTACCTCCGCTCCTCCCCTGAAGTGGGAAGCAGCTGGGGGCGGATGAGCTCGGGGAGCTGAGGATAAACCGCCGAAGCCACACGACACACGTGATAAAAGCACATCCACCATACTAGAGTCCACCACCTGAAACCATTTCCCCAGTGGTGGAAAAGAATGGAACCCTTTCTTATTAACTGGCTGATAGTAACAGCCAGCTGAATTCGTAAGGAAAGCACACAAATGATGAAAACTAAAAGCTGATACTCTGTCAAGGGTCTGCTCCTTGAGTTTTAGGTTCACCAAGACACAGGAAAACTAGATATACCTTCTACCCAACGATGTCAATGCTCCTACAATGGCAATATGCAATTTAAAACGAAGTATACAAACAGAGTCTAGACTCAGATTCCGAGAACAAATCCTAGAAAATGCAGTGTGTGCCAAGTTCAGAGTCTGGGCCATGGCTAGGTTCTCACACAGCTCTAAGCATTTATTCCTTACCCCACTTCAACTGTTTTATGTATCTGTGTTCACTTCTGGAGGACAGGGAGGATGTGTTTTATCTTGTAACATGCAGAGCACACTGCAAGCCCTTTCAACTTCAAACATGCTGGGGAAAAGGTCGATTTAAAAAGTCTCTTCATATCTTATGCCGCTGATTTATGATTGTTCACCTTTAAATTCGGGAAAGAAGTTCTTTAAATATATCCAGTAATAGTGAGTATCACAAAAATAAATGTAATCCTTGTCCTCAACATTAATAAAAGCTAAATTTTTGAGCACTTACTATGAGACAGACACCTTTCCAGCTGCTTTACAGGCTACTGATTCATTTAATCCTCTTAACAACTCTATGAGGCAGTTACTAGCATTATCTCCATTTAACAGAGGAGAATCCAAAGCACGGAGTTTCAGTAACTTGCCCACAAAGCTTTGGGGAAGCCAGGGTTTGAACGTGAGCGCACCACGCCTCAGAAACCCTACTCTTACGCTACACTGTGGAGACATTCGGAATCAGATTTTAAATGTACAAAGATGTTTAAATAAATATATAGCACAAAACCGTAAGTCAGCTCAGCTGTAGAATATGGCTTTAGAATATTATCACAGATGGATGTATTAGCAACACTTACTCTGTTGCATACAGGAGAATAAAATCGCTTGACATTCCATATCTATGTAAAAATTTCATTTTGAAAACTATGTGTCATCTGTGACAGCTCTATTAGCTTCCTTTCCAATAACATTTAAATTAAAAATTACTTACATATTTTTTTAAAAGAGGATTAAATATCTAGTATTGAATGCCAACCATGGTTCAGGCATGTTCACTTAATCCTTATTATGCTGTGATACTGGAATTGTTGACTTCACTGGTTAAGAGAGTACACGGATGTTCAGAGGTCGAGAAGGCTGCCCAGAGTCAGAGCTGGCAAGCGGCTGATTTAGGGGCTGGCCTGCCTGATTACAAAGCCCACAGTGTTTCCACTGACTGACGGTTCTCGGCTCTTCCCCTTCTGCTACACACGCAGAACGCGCTCTTCAGCACTGTCCCATGTCACAGACAGTGACACTCAGCGGTGTGGAGTGGCTTGCTCGGAGGGCGTAGGGGGTGGACACTACACCAGCATCTCTTGAAAGGGAAGAGCCTATGAGCTTACAGTTTGGAACCCTTCTCCCAAGCCCCACTCCCGTCTCCATCCTCTCCTATCCTGGACGCAGCATCCATAGACAAACCATATGAAATCCATTCATCCCTTGGAAGTATACGAAAGATGTTATTTGTACCATGTGAGTTTTTTCTAGGGCGTGGCTCGGAGCTTGCTGTAGACATTCAGAGGAGCCTAGGATCCCCAAGAGGTTCAACACTAGTGGACGTGTGCCAGCAGGGTAGCTCCTGGCCACATGGGGCTATTTAAATGAAAACTTAATAAAATAGACAATTTGGTCCCCAACTGCATTATTGATATTTCAACTGCTCAGCAGCCACATGTAACTAGTGGCGGCTGTGTTGGACACTGAATACACGTAACACTGCCATCATCACAGCAAATTCTACTGGATCGTGCTGTTTTAAAGAGTTCACAATTTTGGTGATAAATTCAATTATTAAGTAGGTGGAAAGAACAAAGCAACTGCCTCTACATGTTTCTTTGTGTGGCCTCTAATTTCAGATTATTAGGTGTGAAATAAGTAGCCCAGGAATACATGATGTAACACATCCCAGAGATGTGGCCCCTACCTTCTCCTTCTTCTTTGATGGACTTTGGTTGAGAGACAGCAAAGCACTGCATAGTTTCATATTTCTGATGTGCTTCCTGGTTTTCATGACCTTCCTCTTCTGAATCAGGTAAAGGTTTTACCAGCATCCGACAATTGAAAGTATGGCTGTTCCGCCTGGGAGGTTCGCCAGACCAAGCTCCCCCGTTCACTGAGCAAAAGGCAAAAGCAACCCGACAGTGTAAAGAAACTAGCGTCAGACTGGCTTCTGCCTAATTATCAGAACGATGTAGGAAACATATGGTTATCTTACTTTCATATAGTGCTTATACTTTTCTAAGTAATTTCAAAATCTAAAGGGGAAAAATTATTGGGTTAAATTCTTGGGAATTTCAAATGTCTTTTACACACTTCTTACTCTTCACCATGACTCTTTC